ACTGAGGGACTTCTTAAACAGAATTGTTAACGGCCATGCCAGAGCATCTGAACAACATTTAAGAATGTTTGTTGGGATTCCATCAGGGCCTTGTGCTTTGTCCATTTGAAGTATATCAAGTTCCTTCTTCACATCCATGACATCAATATCAATATCCTGCAGTACTGGCATATTATCTGTTTCCCTGGTAAAGTCGGGCACATTACTTGCATCCTCTGAGACGAACACTGACTTGAAAAAACTGTTAAGCTCTTCAGCAACTTCACTGTCATTGGAGGTCAGCTTACCTGAGCTAGTCATCAGCGGACCCACTCTAGCTTTCACTCTCTGCTGCGATCTAATGTACCTGTACAGCTTCCGTGGATCGGATTTCAGGTTTCTCGCCAGATTGTTCTCATAGGCATGTCGTGCATCACGGATAGCCTTAGTTGTCCTATTTCTTTGTTGAGCATACTTTGCATGGTCTTCTGCTGATCTAGTCTGTACATATTTCTTCCACAATCTATGTTTATTCCTTACTTCTTTAGTAAGTGTTCTATTCCACCATCTTGTTTTTGTACGCCTCTCTTTAGTTTTGATGCATGGCACATACATCAAAATGCTCTCATTGATTTTCTCCTTTATGCAGCTCCAGGTCTCTTCAACGCTCATTATTTCCAGCGCGTTCCAGTCGACATTTCTGAGGCTACCCAGCATTCCAGCATAGTCGGCTCTCCTGTAGTCGCGCCTTTCAGCTGCCTTTGTTTGCTTGAGCTTTTCTTTTTTATCTTCATTGTACATACAATTCCATGTCAGGACCACATGATCGCTTTTCCCGAGAGGCTGACCAGCCTCCAACTCATCAACCAGATGCTCTCTGTTGGTGAATATCAGGTCAAGTCTCGATGCCACACATCCTTCTCTAAATCTGGTCTCAACATCAACATGCTGGCTCAAAAAGGCATTTTGTGTGGCTTCGAAGAAGTGTGTTGCCTCTGACTCCTCTGCACCTTCAACATACCCATTCTGCCACTGGATCTGCGGGAAGTTAAAATCTCCCATGATAAGCACGTTCCTAGCTCCAGTTCCAATGGATTTCTCAATAAGCATATTGAGTTTTGCATTGTTCTCCATAGAGCTAGAAGGAGACCTGTAACATACACCTACCAGCAGTTCCTCAGTTCTGCCCAGGTGAATTTTGCACCAAATTGCCTCCTCGAATCCTTCATTCAGTAACAAGATTCAGTAACAAGATTCACTACGGGAAAACGGCAATCAATTGGAAAAGGATTGTCGATTTAGAATAAAAAAGGTGCATTATCTTAGTGTGCATCGCTTTTCATCAGATAGGGTCCAAATGCACACGTTTTGGATAAGAAACTGGCCATTTTTATCGCAACTCCCCTAAAACGTTCCACCAGAAGCACCAACAACCGGAAAATAATTTAGTTTGATAACCAAAGTATGGCAGACCTTTTGACATTGTTTTTACCCCGATTTATCTTCCCAGCTTTTCTGTAGGGAGGTAGGTCGCAACTCGCAAATAGGAAAGGGTCGCTAATTAGGCACCTTACCCTACAGTGGGGAAGCCGGGGGAAGCCCGGCATAATAAGCTCTTTTTTATTTTTATGACATACCTTGCGTGATGTATAAAATGTTGATACCCTGTTAGCTTGATAAGTTAACTGGCCGTCTTGTCCCAAACACGGTTGCCTGGCCGTGTTGTTTATGTTTTTTAAGATTTCACCTCTGTCGATCGTCCCCCCCCCCCCCCAGTCAAAAATCCGTGGCGACGCCCCTGCCTGCAGCCTCAACGAATAACTTCTAGTAAAGTTATCCATCAAACCAAATTCCATCGACCTCCTAACCTTTCGGTAATGCCACCAGGCGCCAACAGCTAACAGCTCTGTCCGCAATTCATTGCTTTGTTAAGTGCATCTGTACCGGCCGAGCAACGAGTTGCCATGCGGCGCGCAGCCGGCGCCAAGTGCAGCTGCACCTAGCGAGCGAAGAGCTAGCACGCGGCGCGCCGATTTGGCGCGCTTTTGGTTCCCGCGCTTTCCTGCTATTTGGCGGGAGACAGAGTGGCGGCGGCGGCGGCGGCGGCGGGAGCACAGAGCAGCCACCGGCAGTCGGCTCTGGTTGTTAATAAATATAAGCGGGATCCACTGTATAATATCTAGTGGCGTCATATTACCTAGTGACGTCACATCGTGAAGATGTGCCGCTAAACACGACGCATTCGCCACCTGTCAAGCGAGCCTAAAACTAATAGTTTATAACAAATATGCCAGGTGGCGCTACTGAGTCTCTTGAGTGGATCCATCTTTTCTGTATTGTTTTGGATGATACGATTCTGGATGTTGCATGCTTGGATGTTTCGCTCTTGGATGAACCGTCTTTGGATGATACGATTCTCAGATATTCTCGTGCTGGCATTTTGGATGATACGGTTTTGGATTCTGCATCCTTGGATGTTTCGCTCTTGGATGCTCTGAATGCTCCCAAAACACGGACGTATAAATAAACTGGACTGACAATCCCAATGGACCTCCTATGGAAGATACTGAAGCCGACAAGGCGCCATTTTACGTTGCCAAAAAACCGTGCCGTGAAAGGTAATCGAGCCAATACAAGTGGAATTGTGTCCAAACGGATGATCGGATCGAGATGCTGGTGGTACCGTTCGACGGGTAATGCCTTGAGGCAGGTGATGATGCATGTCACAGGTCACCCGGTGTCACATGGCGCGTGCCACGTGCCGACAAACTTACAAAGGGCAAAAACCTTTAAGCGACGCTTCAAATCAAACGAAGGGCGGCACAGGTGCCAAACTCACAGGTCACATGTCCCAGTGTTCGACCACTAACATTTGGTATGCTCGGCATCAGGGGGTGCGGAATGCACGCGCTAGTGGCGAAAAACATGTTTTGAGGAGGCATCCTCCGATTCCGGAAAACCTTGACCTAGGCACACCAAATTTGGCTCACTGACACTACTGGACATGCGCTTTAAGGTGCTGTACAAATAGGCGTGCTGGGGTACACGGTGCACGTGCTGTGCACGTGCAAACCTTTTGATGTTGCACTCTGTGTCACATATGCGGGTAGGGCGGGTAGCGCTGGCAAGCTCAAAGTGCCAAATTTACACAGGCCACCCAGAATGCATCCCAGCATAGTTATTGAGCATATCCATCTCCTTGGTGGCCCCCAAAGGTGCGCTCTGCACGTGCAAAAAATTATCCGCGCCGGGCGGTGGGTATGCTTGGACACTATGTGGATTTATGTAAATATCTCGAGAACGGCGTTGTGTAGCGCCGCCGTTTTTGGCACACCTTTTCATGCATCTTTTCCACACATGCTGCGTAATTTTCAGACTTAGGTCACTCAAGGTTAGGTCATCAGGTTACGTCCAAGTGACCTTACCTTAGGAAAAGTTATAGTGCCCGTCATAGCTACACAGACTGAACAATCGGTTTAAAACGTGCAGCGATTGATAAGAGCAACAGTATATGCGTAGAGTACCTCTACCTCGTAATTTCAATATCACTTGCTTGCTCAATGCTCAGCTCGTATGGTAAGAGACTGCGGCACAGCATAGATGCAGGCGCTTTGCTACTGCCATCTATGGGTGAAAGATGAAGATAATGGTTATTGCGGTACAGTATTACTGCAGGCGCAAACAACGTAGATAACAAAGATGCCTATGCTATGCTGCGCTGGCCAGCGATTGAGGCGCAAATTTGCGTTGCTGGGTAGCAAAAAGTTTAGAAGCCCAAATTTGACAAAATAAATGATTTGCCGTGCTGGTGGTCTGAGGTCGCAAAATCAACAGAACCCTAGGTCAGTGATATTGAAATTTCGAGGTAGAGGTAGGTACTCTAAGTATATACTGTTGATCTTATCAATCGCTGCACGTTTTAAACCGATTGTTTAGTCTATGTAGCTATGACGGGTATTATAACTTTTCCTAAGGTAAGGCCACTTGGACGTAACCTGGTGACCTAACCTTGAGTGACCTGTCTGAAAGTTACGCAGCATGTGTGAAAAAGATGTATGAAAAGGTGTGCCAAAAACGGCGGCGCTACACAACGCCGTTTTCGAGATATTTACGTAAATCCACATGGGATGTCCAAGCATCCCCACCGCCCGGCGCGGACAATTTTTTGCACGTGCAGAGCGCACCTTTGGGGTCCACCAGGAGATGGATATGCTCAATAATTATGCTGGAATGCATTCTGGGATGGCCTGTGTAAATTTGGCACTTTGAGCTTGCCAGCGCTACCCGCCCTACCCGCATATGTGACACAGAGTGCAACATCAAAAGGTTTGCACGTGCACAGCACGTGCACCGTGTACCCCAGCACGCCTATTTGTACAGCACCTTAAAGCGCATGTCCAGTAGTGTCAGTGTGCCAAATTTGGTGTGCCTAGGTCAAGGTTTTCCGGAATCGGAGGATGCCTCCTCAAAACATGTTTTTCGCCACTAGCGCGTGCATTCCGCACCCCCTGATGCCGAGCATACCATATGTTAGTGGTCGAACACTGGGACATGTGACCTGTGAGTTTGGCACCTGTGCCACGCTTCGTTTGATTTGAAGCGTCGCTTAAAGATTTTTGCCCTTTGTAAGTTTGTCGGCACGTGGCACGCGCCATGTGACACCGGGTGACCTGTGACATGCATCATCACCTGCCTCAAGGTATTACCTGTCGAACGGTACCACCAGCATCTCGATCCGATCATCCGTTTAGACACAATTCCAATTGTATTGGCTCGATGACCTTCCAGAGCACGGTTTTTTGGCAACGTAAAATGGCGCCTTGTCGCTTCACCTGAATGGAGGTGGTTGCGGGTCCAGTTTATTTATACGTCCGTGTCCCAAAAGGGCCGATTTTGGATGTTATTTGGAGGTTTTGATCACTGGATGCTGCGGTTTTGGTTGTTGCGTATTTTGGATGCTGCGCTCTTGGATGCTTTAATAGTCCCCCGGCCGAATAGTGTTGTCCTTCGATGTCTGCGTTGCTTGGTCTGCGTCTGCGTTTTAGCTTCAATTTGCAGCCAGATATGACGCATCTGTTTCAAAATATCCGCAAGTTCTTTCCGGCCAAAAAAACCTCAAACTCCAGGGTGAACTCTGGGTCCACTGAAAGTTTTTACATTTCAATTTAGGGCTTTGGTTTTCGCTATCAGGGAGTAATCTGGTTTTAAGGGTAAGTACTTTCACAAGGGACTGATTTCGGAACTAAAATTGATATATCTTTGGATAGTGTCAACTGTCAAGTGTGATCGTTGCCCGTCGCGTTGGGGTGTTAAAACTTCAGAATTGTGCTGGTCTCGGCTCCAAACTGGTGTTTGATTCACCCGTGATTAAATCAATTGGATTAAATCAAACACAATTTGTTGAATCAAAAAGCTTTGATTCAGCGTCAGGATGGTTCGATGCACAAGCCATGATTGAATCAAAGGCATTGGAAATAAGGGTTGATTGAATAAAAAAAGATTTATGAACTTTAAAAAATGAGGTTACTCAACAAATGCTAACACTACTGTCACTACTGACCATACAAGCTCTGCTTAGCGTGAGTTCCAGCTCTGTCAATCCGTCCATTCAAACATTCGAGCTCAAGTTATAAAAAAATGTGATGATAATTGCATGACAACAGAACAGTCGGGGAAACTATGGTAAAATCTGCTATCTTAAGCAGTCTGCTAATTTTAACAGAAATCTGCTAAAAATGGGTACGCATGTGACGTCAACGTACCCAAATATAGCAGATTTGGGTACGGCCCCATACAAAAGCAGTTCTGCACCCTAATTGAAGCAAATGCGCATCAAATGCCTGGCAGATTCATGATAAGAATAGTGCTGAGAATATCCTCTGATATTTTTGTTCAGATCCGACTATTTTCAAATAATGAATTTGAAAATAGTTGGATCTGAACAAAAATAGCAGAGATCACTCTCAGCTCAGCACTATTCTCATCATGAATCTGCCAGGCAGTTGATGCGCATTTGCTTCAATTAGGGTGTAGATCTGCTTTTGTATGGGGCCGTACCTAAATCTGCTATATTTGGGTATGATGACGTCACATGCGTACCCATTTTTGGCAGATTTCTGTCAAAAATAGCAGACTGCTAAAAATAGCAGATTTTGCCATAGTTTCCCCGACTGAGAAAGAGCACAACAAATTCAATAGGTGCTGTCCCTGAATCAGGGAATTTAAAAAAGAAAAATTGTTCAATAACTTTTTGGCTGAATCAAACATGATTTATTCCTTTTTTGGATTTTGATTGTCTTTTTGATTCTTTGATTCTTGATTTCGATTCTCTGAATCAAAAGGAATCGATTCACCAATTTTTTGAAGGACTCAAACTGTGATTGAATCAAAAGAAAATCAAATGAATCAATGATTGAATCAATCCAAAAAGGTGAATCAATCAATCACCAGTCTGCTCAGCTAAGGTGACAAAACCTCTATTACAGTTCGAAACCTCATGCTTGAAGTGGTATTTTGCTTTAACATACAAAATTCCATCAATAATAACATTTCAACTCGCATTGTATTGTTGCTGCTGTTCAGTTCATCCTTCTACCAAGTATTGGACAGTGGACTACCGTAAAACAGGGTGTTAACTGTTAAGGGACAGCGGGGTGCTAAGGGACAGTTGCGTGAGAAAAACTTTGAGTCATATTAAGTTCCTTCGGGCGGGCTTCCTAATTTGATAAGCTTGAATAAAAACTTGAGTGTGGTAGACTAGCTGACACTGTTTTGTTCTTGACTGTAGGACAAAATGACATGTTTTTTTCAGGCAAATAAGTTGGTTCAAAAATGGTTTTGAAAATCATGTACATTTTCACAAAATTTAAACATCTCCGAAACCCTGTGTGTACCACAGAAACTAGTGGGTGTACAGGGAAAATGAATGCATTGGTGTATTGTCACATGTATTGCACATGTTTCCTGAAAAATTTATACAAATCCAACCATTCATTCATCACCCTCTTCCTCTTATGTCCATAAAGTTAGCGTCATATTCATATTCAGATTCAAAATCGAGTAATGATTTCGCTCAGAAATGGTATACAGATAGCCCGGAGTTAGAAAATGGTGACCTTTTTTTCCTAGGTCAAACCGTTTGACCTTGACAGGTCAAAGCACTGTAGACTCTTTGTTTATGGTCCGATTGGAAAAATTCGCCCCCAGTGTGTTCGTCTCATCAAGAAGAAGAAGCACATTAAAAAACCCGAGGTCAAGGTCATAGGTCAAGGTCAAGGTCACTTTAAAAGACGCCGTACCCTATAAAATCTTCATTTTTTTTAGATATTGGAAAATTTCGGCCACCACTGTGTTCGTCTCATCGAGGAGCAGTAGCACATTCAAAAACTCTGAGGTCGAGGTCAAAGGTCAAGGTCACTTTAAACGTAAATATTTGGATTCCAATTGGAGTAATGATTTCGCTCAAAATTGGTATACAGATAGCCATGGCACGCTGAGTTCGAAAATGGTGACTTTTTCCCTGGGTCAAACCGTATTGACCTTGAGAGGTCAAAACAGTGCGTACCCTGTAGAATCTTTGTTTATGGTCCGATTTGAGAAAACAATTCGCCCACCAGTGTGTTCGTTTCATCGAGAGGAAGTATAGCACATTAAAAAACCCGATGTCAAGGTCATAGGTGAAGGTCAAGGTCACTTGAAAAGTCGCCGTACCCTATAAGATGTTCATTTTTGGAGATATGTGAAAATTTCGGTCACCACTGTATTCGTCTCATCGAGAAGCAATAGCACGTAAAAAATGAGGTCAATGGGGCAATAGGGTACGGCGACTTTTAAAAAGACCTTGTTTGGTGTTTGAACAACCCCCCCCCCCTGCGGTTTTTGTGCCGTTTTTGGCGCACCTGTTCATGCATCTTTTCCACACATGTTGTGAAAATTTCAGACCCAGGGCTCTCAAGGTCAGGTCACCAGGTCAGGTCAAGGGACCTCACCTCAGAAAAAAAGTTTCAATCCTCGTCATAGCTACACCGACTTAACGATCGCCTTGAAACTTTCAGCGATTGATAAGAGTAACAGTATGTGCCTACAAAATGTATATCTCAGAATTTCGATATCGGTGACCTAAGGTCAGGTCAATTTTGCGACCTCTCCTTTATAAGTCAATGGGAGAAAATTGAAATGCGCCTATTTTGGACGAATGGTGTTCAAAACCCTCTCAAACATTGGTTCATAGGTAAACATGACACACTGAATCGGAAAAATGCACCTGTGACCCCTCTGTGTGCCCCTGAGGTCATCTCAGGTCATGAACGGTCACCAGCAGTTTGTTGGCTATAACTTTTGATAAAGACGTGCTAGAGCGATGAAAAAACGTCAGATGTATTCAGCTCGACGATACGGATCGACTGATATGGAACATGACGCTTTCCGGTCAGGTCATGACCTTGAACTGAGCTGAGGTCAAATTTTCAAAATGACCTTTCAAGGTCTACAAATACGTCATTCGACGCGTCTCGACGATATGAACAAGATGCTGCCAAAAGTAATGGCCACGGCAATGTTGGAATTGTCGTTTTCGGTCCTGGTCCCGGATAATAAAATCGATTCAGAGAACCGGCCAGCGTTTACAATAGCCAACAGGAAAATCAAATGTTTGACCTGCTAAATGTAATAGCCGTTAAAATGTGTTCCTCTCGATGCTATTTCTGCATATTTAGGTGTAATAATAGCAGTTTTTATCACAAAGGCTGAGAAATTTAGAAGATTTCAGGTGCCGGGGATTATACATTTGTAGAGGAGAACAAAATCTTTTGAACCCGACGGGGACCAGCAAAGGGTCTTATTTCCAACATTGGTCGTGGCTCTCTTGAGTGAAAAGTTATTGACGAAAAACCATTTTCGTGAAAACTGCTTTTTTACAGTTTTTGCCCTCTGGAGGCTAAACCGTTGACCTGAGGTCAAATCTGAGAACAATACTCAGAAAGGTCTGTAAAAGGGCTAGGTATCGAATGCGCTTTTCCGCGGCGCTGTAGCGCTATCGGTTCCCGAGATAGCCGTTGGCAGTTTCCAAAATGTTGAAATAGTCATTATTTTACCTTTGATGACCTCTGGAGACCTGACCTTTGACCTGACCAAAAAAATGACCGAAGTGTTTCCGTCATTATTTTTGACGCTCTTTCGAATGCCGCTCACTGCGTGTCGCTACGTGGCCCAGGAGCTGAGTTAGACGAGGGGGTGTTCAGACACCCCCCCCCCCCCGGCCCGGCGCGGATGTCGCGGAGCACCGACCCGGCGCGTGACCTTGACCTTGACCTATTACCTTGACCTCGGATTTTTTTTTAAATATGCTATTGCTTCTCGATTAGACGAACACAGTGGTGGCCGAAATTTTCCAATATCTCCAATAAATGGAGATTTTGTAGGGTACGGCGTTTTAAAGTGACCTTGGCCTTAACCTATGTTGCGAACGAATTGATTCCGGTCCGATCGACCGGTAAAGTTACGAATAAGCAAAATCCGAATAATACGGAAGTCGAATTAAACTTGTTCCGAATCGATCAATCTACATATATTGTCCGCCATTTTCTCATTCTAATTTCAACCAATTCATTCACACGACAACAATAGCACCGACGAAATTCCGACTGCGTGAAAATATGCAAAATGGCGCGTGCCATAACACACTGGAGCCGCTACGGCGGCGACATCCTCCCCCCCCCCAAGAGTGACCCGCCGTCACCCTTGGCACCATGCCCATCGATACACACACTGGGCAGAGCGCAGTTGCACCACTAATCACCATCATCATCACTCCCCTCGAGGAGACACACTTTGCTAGCAGGACGGCGGAGACGTCCTCTAGCGGTCACTATATCCACAGAACGGACACGACCATCGGGTCCAGGGTACACCTGAGCGACTCGAGCCAGCGGCCACAATCCCTTTGGCGTGTCGTCGCCGGCTAGCAGCACCAAGTCTCCGGCGCGCAGGTTCCGAACGTCTGACGTCCATTTGGTGCGCTGAACGAGGTTGGGGACGTATTCCCTGAGCCATCTTCGCCAGAACTGTGTGGCTATGGCTTGTGCTTGCCACCAGTGACTCCTGACATTCATTCGTGATGAGTCACTGAGCTGAGACGGCAGGAGACACGCCGGTCTGCCGAGAAGGATGCGACTGGGAGTGAGCGCTTCAAAGTCACTGGCCTCTGAGCTGA